GGGGGGGGGGGTGGCTTCTGCCCTTTGCGGTCACATCTAACAAACCCATTCAAACCAAATCTTTTCTCTTCCAGGCCAAGACGACCCCAAGGGGAGGCCTTTAGGATGGACAAGCCTGCATTACATTTGTGTTTGCTGCCCACAGCCTTGAGGGACAGACGCCTGAGACATCTAGAGCTTTTAGAGTTAAAAGGACTGCACGCTCATCAGGGCAAGACGTGGGCAGACAGGGGATCTGGTTTTCTTGCCTCGTGTATGTAAGGTTTCTGGTTAGAGTAAGAAGCGACAAAGCAACAATACAGACTGTGGCAGACCACGCCGGGTCTCTGTTCTGTTGTATCCAGAGTGTGCATGGGCCCTGGGAGTACACTTGTCAAAGAATTTTCACCCCAAACGCGTTATTGGAATCTAACAGCCACCAAATGTAGTTACCAGTTTACAGGACGTACCAAAGGACGTCAACGCCATGAGGAAAAGATTCAGGCATAGGGAAGAAAACTCAGGTGCTTTTTCTGGACTTAGAGGCAAAAAAGGAGGGGCTGCCCTTCTAGAGGCTGGGAGGGTGAGGCACCAGCCAGCCCAGAGAGGGTCTGGCCTAGGAACCCAGCAGCAGTGACAGCATGTGGGGCGTCTGTCCTTCTGCGGCCTCCTCTGGGGTCAGAGCCCAAGCTCTCTTGACCCCACCCTGCAGTGCTTATGTGCAGCACACACAGCCAGTAGGACCCCCAGTGCCTGTGGCTGAGGATCCCACGGGTCCTGAGTGCCACCTGCTGGACGCTTGGGGATTGTGCTCCAAGAGCCCCTCCCAGGGGTGTGGCGGCTGTGCTACCCCTGGGCTCCACACAGCCCCTGGCATCTCAAGAGTCCCCAGCATCCACATGCTGATGGGGGGGGCAGGGCAGGTGACTACCCTCTGCTGACCCCACACACACCCCAGGGGCCTGAGGGGGAAGGGGTGGGCCTGGGACCCGAGTGATCCTTACCACAACCCCCACCACCATCACAGTGCTCCTCATGGAGCCTTGAGGGTGTGCTCTAGACCCTTGCACGCTGTCCCAGGTCCTGACAGCCTCTCGTGGGGAGTGTGTGGGTGTCCGCTGGCCACTGGCTCAGGCCCTTCCAGAACTGTCCTGCCAGGTGCCCTCCTGCCCCCATGCCTCCCAGTTCTGTCTCGTGCTTCCCATGTGTCCCTCCCCTTTGGGCCACACACCAAGATCCCTTCCAAGTTCCTTGGCCTTTGTGTTTGCTTTCTGGCTTCACTAAATTCGCCCCATCTTTAAGACTGTGTTTATGAAGGGAAATTCAACGAAACTGGCATCTGGATACGGCTGTCATCACACCCAATTCCTCGTATGCCTCTGTACTGGTCACTGGTGGTAGCCCTCGGGTGGCCCTGCGCTCAGATGGGAACCTTGAAGGCAGGGTCCTTCCCCACTCGCTCAGGGCAGCTACCCACGAGGAGGGGCGCCCGCGGCCGGCCGTGCTTTGCTGCTTCAGCCAGACTACCCGTCGCACCTGCTTGGCACCAGCGGTCAGTCCCCACCCCAGCTCTCTGCGGTTCTGGCAAGGTGGCCCCACCCAGAGGTCCCAGGTTCTTCCCCGAGGGCTGTGGACAGGGGGGGAGGTGGAGGTGAGAGCCAGGAGGCAGGGAGAGTGTGGGTGGGACCAGGACCAGAGTATCCAAGGGCAGCACGACCCTGCCCCTGCCCTGGAAGGAAGTTGCAGGATGGCAGGACCTCCAGGAAGACGCGAAAACTCGGGTCTAGAAAGTACGTGGGTAAATATGTTTGGAAATAAAATCCCACTCTAAAAACAGAGTTCGGATCCTAGGGAAACATCCAAAAGGTGTCTTCCCACTGAGCGTGGTTTGTTTGGAATTTTTACTTAAAAAAGGATAGGAAATACCCAAGACCCCTCCTCACCCAGGCCTCACCAGGGGCTTTCCTCTGAAGAAGCAGTGCTCCTCTCCCTCCCCTCCTTTTATTACTAATTTCTGGTCCTCAGGCCGTGCAAGGACAGAAAAAACTACACGATTTCAAAGGTGCGGGGGAGGCCAGAAGCGACGGCTGGAGCTGCCTGGGCAGCTGTGGTCCTTCCACCGCCCAGGCACCCCTGGCCAGCTGTCAGGGAGCAGCCGCACCCAGGGCCCCTGCCCTTGGAAGGGGTGTGGGGCATACACGTGGGACGGAGCTGGCACAGGCCTGAGCTTGAAGGTGGGCAGCCCACCGCACGTGCCAGTCACACCTGCCCCCTGACCAGCCTCCGAAAAGCCGGGGGCAGCCTTGGGCTTCTGTTCCCTGAAAGTCTCCCCCAAACACCACCCCGCCTGCTCACAGGGTCTTTCCGGGGCTGCGTGGGGTCCAGTTTCCGTGTCACCCGTGAGGTTTGGTCAACAGGGGTTCTCCGGCCGCCTGTTGCAGCTCTACGCTGGCCACAGGGGCTCCTCGACGCCAGCCCCGCTAACCAGACATCGCGCCGTTGGTTATGTTTAAAACCACTTTCTGGTTTGGGAAACCGCAGGGACTGGAGCACGCAGAGCAGAGCTCGAAGGGGCAGGGGCAGATGTGCACCTGGGCAGCTCTCTGACCCCGTGGGCAGCCCAGCCCCGTGCCCGGTGCCCCACAGACACGAAGCAGCATCCACTGAGCAGCCGGGTGGTGGCAGTGTGTATTAGGGTTTTCCACAACACTCAGAACATCGCGTGAACAATGAACAGTTAGAGCAACTGGGAGTCGGGAAGACAGGGGACTCTCGCTCTCCCCGAGCCCCTGTCGGGGCTGTGGTCCCCGGCCGGCCTCTCTCGAGGCCCCAACCGGACGCTGCATCGTCGGAGTCTTGGTGAGTGGCTGTTTCTCCTCGAGGCCGCAGCGAGCTCAGTCACTTGGACAACAGGCGGGATAGCACAGGCACAAGCTGTCTGGAAACGAGGCCACAGTGAGAGGTCTTTCAGACTCCCACCCAGGGTGTGAACTCTGGAACTCCGCGCCCACGTGGTCCCGGTGTGGCCGGGTGACACCAGCCAGGAGGACGGTGGCCATCAGGGGTGCTCAGGGATCCTCCAGGGCCTCAGCCAGCTGCTTAATCTGGCGACCATGGACCACCCGCAAAGCACCCCCTGCAGCCTGGCGGAGCTGGGTCTCTAGGGCACTCCGGAGATCGTTGACCTGCACATCCGGGAGAGGGTTAAAGCTGATGATGACCCTGTCCTTCGGGGCTGGGGCTCCCCCTGCCCCAGGAGCCACATCCCGCCGTCTCCTCCGAAGGTCAGAACCGGCCTGGACTTTCAGGTCTCGGTTGGGTTTGGCGTAGTCTGGCTTCTGGGCCCCGGGGATGGCTGGTTTGGGCCCAAGATCTGGGTCTGGCCTCTGCTCAGGTTCTTGGACGGCAGCGTCCTCCCCCTGAGCAGGCACACGGTCCCCGCCAGGGGCCTCCTTTCTGGCCTCCAGGTGACCGCCCTGCTGCCCAGCCTGACCCAGTGCGGAAACAGCCCGGTGCCCCAGCTGCCGGGTCTCGGCCTGGGCCCGGGGGGCCGCTCCTCCAGGCTTGCTGGCCAGGTCTGCAGGCCCCTGGTCTCGGATGACTGGCTGCGACTTCACACGCGGGTCCCTTATCTCCCTCGCCTCCAGCGCATCTGCCTCCTTCCGAACCCCGGCACCAGTGGCTGCCACCCCTTTTCTGGGTTTCCTCCTTTCGCGGGAGCCTCCGCCAAAAACGTCCGGACCCTGCTCCGGGAACTCGCCGGCGACGAGCTTCTC